TGCAGCACGAGCTGGACGAGGCCGAGGAGAGGGCTGACATTGCGGAGTCCCAGGTCAACAAGCTGCGCGCCAAGACCCGTGAAGTGGGCTCCAAGGTCAGTGACCCCAAAACCATGCCAGCCCTGCACTTCTGCCAGTCCCTGCCCCTTCCTTGATTCAGGCTTCCTCCCTGTTGGCTGTGTCTCCTTTACAGCTGCCTCAGTTCACAATACATCAGTGCTGCCACTTATTGTGTAAGATGACTCCTGCTGGCCAGATTTAGTATACATGCGAAATGACTATGAACCTGCTTGATACACAGTGCACTGTTCAGCTGATACGTTCTGTCTGCCGCTGATGTACCAGGTGTTTGGAGTCTTTGCTGAGCATAAGGAATTATGAGAATCTGAAAACCATTTTCTACTGTATTACGGCTAATATGAGCCAGATAATGGTCCAGTTAAGTATGGTATAGTATCTTCTTACACATGATTTTCTGGTTTTGGAGCAGAGAGCTATCAAGGTACTTTTTTCTCACATGTCTTTGTTTTGGGATTCCTCTCAGGTTCATATGAATCCATGTATTCATTCCTTCTGTGTTTCTACTGAATTCACTTCTCAAGGGGAGAAAAACATTAAATAATCTCAATCTCTTGTTACTGAAAGCTTTTTTGAGCAGCAGATGAAAAAAAAAGGGAATTGAGAAAATCCCTGTGGTTCACTTGTGGTCATAATGTCTGACAGGATCTTACCAGCTAGGAATATAACAACCTCAACAAACTGGCATCTCTTTTACTCTGTTTTTTATGATTACCTCTGCAGCACATTTTTATAAAGTGCAAATTGTGGTTTTGAGAATCCTTTTTGTCACTCAGCTGACTTTTCCAGTTTCATTGGACAGTAAAAATGAGTGTCAGCGTGTGGGTGGATGGTGAAAAGACAGCCCTGGCTTACTAACACCAACCCCTGAGCATAAGGGCTTTTCCAGTGCATGGTTCACATCCACTGAAAGGTGCACCTCACCGGTGGAGAGAAACCTTACAAACCAGAGAATACAAAACAGCTTCTAGCTGCGGCTCACCACCCTTCTCTCTCTGTCCATCTCTCCCTCTCTCCCTGACAGAAAGGGCTTGATGAAGAGTGAAGCTCTCAGATGGACCTTTCTGAAAACCTCTAGTCTGCTGTGCTTTAGTCCCCCTCCGCTTTCTCTCTGCCCTTCCTCTAATTCTGTAGAATAAAACTGGTTTCAAAAGCATTTCTCCTGTGTCCTGCTCATGGTGTGTGTGTGTGTGTGTGTGTGTGTCTGTGTGTGTGTGTGTGTGCGTGTGCTGATGTGTGTAAAGTTGCAGAGTGTATGCCGTGGCAGAGTTCTCCAGCTGTTACCTAAAGCAGACGCTGCAGCTAACCCTCTGCTCCTCTCCTTGTTGGATCCCTCATGAATCCTAATCCCACTGACCGGACTGGTCTGGGACACTGGGTATATGATAACTCACTGGGAAACTGACTGCAGAAAAAAATTTGCTATACTCTGCTTAGAGGATTCCTCCCTGCATAACCTTACAGGTAACGCAGCTTAAACCGGCACTTTAATTTTTCCCCTTTGGAGAACCCTGACACCCACAGCGACAGAGCAAATCACACTTCATCACCCCCGTCTTCCCATTAACCTTTGAGGGCCCCAGCGAAAGTGCAGAGGGCTGGGGGATTAACAGGCTGTGTGTCACTGAGCGGGGCTGCGGCAGCTGCGGGGAGGTGACGCAGTGCGAGAGAAAGTGGATGTCAGGCTCACAGAAGAGAAAGGTCAGGCAGGCGAAGGGTTGAGACTGACTACTCCCACTCACAAACAGAGCTCTGTGCGAGAGCCAGGGTGGGGACAGCTCACACACCACACAGGTCTGTTACACACTCGCACCAACAAACACACAACACTGGGAAAACCCAGTCTGTCACATACAGTACACACACCATGGTGTGACAGCCAGGCGAAAAACCTATTTTGCACATACACACACTGAGTGACAACTTTGGAAGATATCTGAGTATAACACACACGCATAAACTCTCTGTTACACAGGACTGTGTTACTGCCTGGGAAGATATCTCACTCCATCACATGCACACACAACACTGATTGACATCCAAAGAAGGCAACTTACAGTCAGGGAAGACAGCTTAGTCTATCGCCCTCATTTAACCATACACACAACAATGAGTGACAGCACAGGTGGATAACTTACTCTGTCACGGATATCATATAACTCTTTTATTGCAGTCAGTTAGTATCAGTTAATGTATTTTATTGCACACGCACAACCATGAAACAGTTTGTCACCGTCATCGCAGAGTGAAAGTCGGGTTAGATAACTTATTCTGTCACATTCGCAAAACCACACACACACACACAACACTGACAGCCCGGGTGGGTAACGTATTCTGTCACACATACACTTCTAACACTCAGTTCATTGACATCTTTCTGCACACACGCATAGCCATGAATCATCTTTCACACACACTCACACATGCTGCACAAAAACACACAACACTAATTGAAAGCTAGGTTTGATGACTCGTTCTGTCACATCCACAAGACCACACACACAAGAAAGGGTATTATCTGCCAGTCAGTTTGTAACTTGCTATGTCACCCGCTCATGTTCACACACTGACACAACATTGAGTGAGGATACTTCAGCCCGTCTCACGCACGCACATCTACAAATGTAGGAGTTGTACTGTACAACACTGAGTGGTAGTTTGGGCGGATAACTTACTCTTTTACACATTCACACACGAGGTAGCCCAGTTTGTCACAGGCACATAGCACCCTAATGGTCTGCCAGCTTGACTGTTATGCACAGACGGCAGCATGCATGCCTTCAATGATAAAATTCCAGTCTGCTATCCAAGAGCTAAATATATAATACCCAGTACAAGGCACTCACCCCCCCAAATAGCCCAAAACTTCAATCACCCATCCGTATTGTCTTCAGAAACCTAACAACTGTGGGAATGCACCAGTGCAATAGAGGGGATTTTGTGCTCTTTGTCTCTGTTAAAAATCCTAAGGAATTTGGTACCCAGGACTCCTGGCTAGAGTGCTCTTGACTTGCAGGGGAGAACAGCCCTGTTGAGCCACCCAAGTTTTCCTCTGCGTTTATCTGCAGGTCACATTGCAGCCCATTCGCCTGCCAGAGCTGTTTCTGGAAAACCAGTCTCACATTCCCGATGAGGTTTCTCTGCCTGTCTCGAGTGCAGGCAGCAGTTCCCAGTGCCGGGGGGGGGCGTGCGTCTCCCCAGTACACAGACAATCACACGCACAAGGAACATCGGGGGGGGGGGGGGCAGGGTTTAAAACACTCACTTTCCTCTCGTGATTTGAGAGCGGGTGGGCTTCTCCGAAGTTGGCGTGGCGTGTCTGATAATATTGGAAACATCAGACAGTACTCGTAGTAATACAGAAGAAAGATGTACTTATAGTACATATCCTAGTTCAAATACAGAGCTGTGTCAGCATGAGTGGGATATAAAGGAACATGTAAAGGCTGAAAAGAGAACAAAAGTGACACACCCGAAGAAGGCTCCACAGCCAAAACGTTGTGTTTTTTTTCCTTATCTTTTCAGCATGGAATGAACCTTTACTTGTTCCCTTACATATCCTAGTTTGTCTCAAAGGAGGGGTATAATCCAGACTTGTTTAATTTGGACAGCTGCAAATCGGGGCAGATTTTCTCGAAGCAGGGCTTACTCATTCACAGATCCTTAGCCTATATTGCAAGTTCAGGGTATGCGGGGTGGAGCTGTGGCTCTGTGGCTAAGAATCTGTGCCTGTGACTGGAAGGCTGCCAGTTCAAATCCCACAGCTGGTAGAGGAATCCTACTCTGTTGGGTCCCTGAGTGAGGCCCTTAACCCCAGCTACTCCAGCGGTGCTGTATAAATGGCTGACCCTGTGCTCTGACCCCAAGTCTCTCTCCCTGTCTGTATCTTATGGAGAGCAAGCTGGGGTATGTGAAAAGACAAATTCCTAATGCAAGAAATTGTATAGGTCTAATAAAACAACATTATTATTATTGTGTATAGACGTGCACTGTGCTGTACAGTACATGAGGGTTATGTGTGCCGCGATGCTGTTGCGGTCTGGTCACTGGCCTTACTGGGGCTCTCGAGCTGGGCTTACTGTGCTCACCGTGCTGCTCACATGGCAGGGACCCAGGTCTTTGGTGTCCACCGGTGACATTTCGCTCTGGACCTCTGCTGTTCACCCAATTGATGATTTCATAGCAGAGCAACGTGATGCAGCTTTAAAGGGCAGAACATTATCTACAAGAACAACGGGGCTCCGCCTCCAAAGTTGCTGTGCTCAGTTAAGAGGGGCTCTTACCTGCTCTGTCCAGACGGGGGCGTTGTGGGACTCCCAGCAGTTTGTCCAGTGTGGTTCCTGGATTGGGCAGTTTTACAGTCAGATTACCCGTTAAACTCTGTGAATAATGACCGTGCAAAACAGAGTATGTTAGCTCTAAAGAGATCTGAGTTATATAGGTCATTCTAACGGTTGGATGGCGATGGATAACACTGTTGTTAGTTCAGTCTTTTTCTATACACTAACACTAATGAACTGTGGGCATTTCTGTACATGTTCCAGTGTGATGAAAATGGCAGGCGTTGACTTTAAAATCAGATGTGTTTCTGTAGCTCTCCCCATGGAAAGAGCAGGGCTACCTCAGTTCGTATCAGAATATCCATGTACTAAAAAGTTTGAGGATGGAAAAAAATGAAAAAAAATGTTTGTAGCTACTTTTGTTGAACAATTTAAAAAAGAACAGTTTTATAAACACTCATTGTGTGAAATCACTCATTCCCATACTGCCCTAAATCAACCTCTCAGATTAATGAAACAGGCCAGTCGGGTGATATACCCGTCAGATTAATGAAACAGGCCAGTCGGGTGATATACCTGTCAGATTGATGAAACAGGCCAGTCGGGTGATATACCTGTCAGATTAATGAAACAGGCCAGTCGTGTGATATACCTCTCAGATTAATGAAACAGGCCAGTCGGGTGATATACCTCTCAGATTAATGAAACAGGCCAGTCGGGTGATATACCTGTCAGATTAATGAAACAGGCCAGTCGTGTGATATACCTGTCAGATTAATGAAACAGGCCAGTTGGGTGATATACCTCTCAGATTAATTAATGGGGACAGGTGATATACTATAGCTCTCAGATAAATTAATCAGGGCAGTTAGGTGGTATACCCCTCAGATTACTTAATGAGGCTAGTCCGGTGATGTACCTCTCAGATTAATGGATCAGGCCGGTCAAATGACACATCTCTCAGATTAAAAAATCAGATTGGGTGATATACCTCTCAGATTAAGGAATCAGGCCAGTCAGGTGATATACTGTACCTCTCAGAATGAATCGGGTCAATCAGGTGATATATCTCTCAGATTAAGGAACTGGTTGAGTGATATAACTCTCTGAATAATGAATCAAATTAGTGAGATGAATCAGGCCAGTTGGGTGATATACAGTTTAATGAATTCAGATTAATGTTTCATATTAATGAATCAGGACAAGCAATATAACCCTCGGAATTACAACATATATATATAGTATATACCTTCAATGAAATACTATACTGTACCTTACTTCCAATTAGTCAGCTTGTGACTCCAGTAAATCGGGTGTTATTGCTCTGTCAAGCTACGGAGGCTGTCAAAGTAAAAAAAAAAAATCATTTAATAGCCTGAAAAATCAAGCAAAATAGCGTAATCCACACAGGCTTCATACAAGCGCCTCTCCTAATATAAGGACAAAATGCACCCCTCGAACGTACCGAAAACAGTCGCTGCTCCCTTTCAGCCTGTCTTTTCACGTTTCAGCCTGTAATGACCGCTGCGACACCGCTGTTTTAAAGATGAGATGGTGTTTTTTCGTCTTCAGTCGATTTAGATTTAAGATTCGTCCCCCGTATTCGCGAATATTCTTCGCGGGCAGTTACGAGCGCGTGGCCGACCTGCTGCAGAACCGTTAGGATTTGAAAGCGGACCGGACCCGTTCAGCGGCTGCCCATCTGACGCCTAACATCTAATTCATTTGCCTTAAAACCACACGTACAGTACTGTAAAATGCTAGGAAACGGCATTTTGAAAAAAATAAATAAAACCTTCGCGAGAAAGAAAACGGTGGAAAAAAAAAGAATGTTTCCCACATGTAACAGGTGAGCGTAGTTGAAGAGTTGTTTCGTTTTTCGTTTTTTTTTCCTTTGGGGATAAAAGAACAACAGTAACAATCATTAAAAAACTTCTAAAGTTTAACTCATTAAAATAAACAAAGCTTACTGGGTTAAAAAGCTTAACGGTCAGTAATTGGACAAGGAAGAGGCAAAACAGGTAACATACCGGAACCCGCGTTTAAGTCATCGATGTTTTATCGACGTATTTTGAGATAGGTGTATCTGAACTCGTGTACAATTATTGAAAGTTCATTTATATTTATGTGTGTGAGGTACGTTTATGGGGTGGAAGAACACAGCACTAATGCGATTATAGGAATTCTGTCTGGGCTGTGTCCACAGTAGCTACATTTCCAGGCAGAAAAACACATTATGAATGCAACAGAGCTCCAATAAACCAGGCCATTACATAATAATAATACTAATAATGTTCAAATTCCCTAAACTACAGTTTTTAATGGTCAAGGGCTACGTTTTAATTGCAACAAAGACAAGTGAGTCCCAAGCAAACACATTTCCCTCACTCTTTTGCCCCTCTTTGCTCTTCATCTCCCAGTCCTCTCTCTCTCTTCTTCCTGTCTCCCATTCTGGTCTTTTCCCTTCTCTCTCTTTCCTCTTTTGTGGTCTTTCCCCTTTCTCTCTCTCTGCCCTTTCTCTTCCCCTTCTTTCCCTTTGTCTCTGTCTAATTTTAAAAAAAGGTAGACTGGTTTTAGAAGACATGTACCGGGAATGACTTTGTTGTGCTTTTCAATGGTTTCAACAGGCCTGAAGTAAAATCTAAGAGAAGACGGTCTGATCTGTGTTCAGTGGGATCCCTCAACACAGCTGTAAGATTCCACAGGCATTTTCAGCTGCAGCAGGTACAGTATTTGTTGCTGACTACCGACACCGACACCCTCCATTGAGACTGATGAAATGGATGAAACAGCAACAATCCAATTGTCATCATCTCCTTACACAGGGCCGAGGGTCTGCAGTCAGCTCCTTAGTCACTCGGTCGAGTTATTATTCAGCTTCAGGGCAGCAGAGCCCTCCGGTGGAATGGAGTGAGAAGTCCGAGCCGAGGTCAGCCCTGAGTTCACTGGCAGAGTGAGCGACCCCAGGACGGACCTCACACTGCGGGGACCTGGCTGAAGCCTGCACAGAGCACTTGCTTGCCTGGTGCCCCACTCTCTGCCCAGAACCCGTGCCCAGACACACGTTTTGCTGGGACTGGGCAGTATGAGCCCACTGACCGGTGCTCTCCTCAGCAAGGCTTGTGTTCAATCATCTGCTCGGCTACCGCAGGGGTCCATGGCAAATCAGCAGGCACCCACCCCAGGGGGCATGTGTAGGCTCTTCTGGCCCACCCCCTGTGAAAGTGCCCCAGTGGATCTCACACACATCTCTGTGCGGGAACTGGGAGATGGGCAGTAGTCCTGTCGTGTGGCACTACTCTGGTGTGTACGATGGTGCGTATGCCTCTGGAACAAAAAAGGTGTTTTTGTGCAAAGAAAAATGTGTGTTTCTGGGTGCTCTGCATGTAAAAACAGAATTTTGTAACAGTGACACTACTTCTGTTTAATAGTTCATCATCCATTGACAATTGTTCCAGTTCCTCATTTAAAAAGCCCTGTTAAATAAGACTTTCGCCATGTGAATGAATGCAATACTCAACATCGACCTTCTTCCTACGTCTGCGTGGGAACTACATTGAAATAAGAACTAACACGGCACTGTGTCCTGTCCATGTACACCTAGAATCCAGTGGTGGCCTGGAGGAGCAGGAACGGGGCCCTTTCCGTCAGTACTGCTTGTCTGCGCCAGGATGCAGGCCCAGAACAGTGAGTACAGCACAGCTACATTCTTCACACATTCTTGACTATATTAAGAGCAAAAGCCCTCTTTTAACGTGATCATGGAAATGATCTTCTGTACGCACAGATCCAGGGTTCTGTATTGATGTTAGGAGACTGAAATAAAATGCGGGCACAGATAATTGTACTTTATGAATCTGAATATTTAAAATGCAGTACATTATATTTGTTTATTATATTAATATCAGATTTGGTTTTCTTTCTTTATTTTCTTAATCTTATAGTAATGTTAAAATGGTCTTCCCTGCTTCGGGATGCTTCACCTTTTGAAATACACAGAAATACACTAAATGTGTATTTATATTTGCTTTCAGATTCAAGTACAGACAAGACAATGTTTCTGTGGCACAAGTTCATTTCAACTACATCCAACTGGCACTTAGACATTTATTGATGCATCATCTAAATAAATGGTTTATAGTCTCCAAAGAAGCCATCCTTCCATTTTCATGTGTGACAGTGAAGTTGACAGCAGAGAGAAGGCAGTGTTCATTATTCACCACACTGTGTGTGCCATGTCATTCCTTATCCATACTAAACCCTTTTATTGTCATTAATGGCTTCAGTCTGCTGGCCTCAAGTAATCTGGCAACATGGAACCTGGAAGGAAAGTTGTCAGCTGTTTGTAAAACCATTACCAGTCAGAAAGGCACCATGCACACAGTGACTGTTATCTGTTTCCCCAAGAAAAAACAGGCAGCTCTGTGGCTGTCAGACAGCTCCCAATCTTAGCTGAAGGAGAAAACAAAGGCGGGGTTAGGAGTTCCTGTCTTGTAGGTGAGGGAGTAGATAAAATTGTCTGTGTTAGCATTGTATTAAGATTGGCATAACAGCCCTGTTTCCAATAACTAGTCTGGCTTATTAATCATGTGTAGGAGAAGGAAACATCTTACCTGTTTCCTGGAAGCAGAATGAAACACTCCAGAGGACACTTACCTCAATTCTCCCTCCTCTCTAACCCCAGTGAACTATAAATGTTCATAGCTAACTGAATAAGCAGAAGCAGACTGCAGTTCTCAACTGTGTCTCCTCTCCAGGATCTACCACCAGCCCCCTCCCCGTTCCTCAGCAGTAATGATAATATCATTAATAACTTGTATAGTACTCCCAGCATGAGTGCTCGTTCAGCCCTTACCTCCCTGCGTCTCCAGATGCTTTGCTGCAGTGAGCTGTTGCTCCAAGCAGGTCACCTTCAGGCCTCAGGACACTTTCTGCCAGAGGCTGAGCCTGCGTGTGCCAGCAGGAGCCACAGGGAGGAGAGAGAGGCAGAGGGGCACTGCATCCTAATTAAGGCACATTATCCCCCTGCTGTGAGTCTTTGCACGGCTGAGATTGCACAGATTTCACAGGTCCTCTTGGTGAACTATCAAGTGACAGCCTGAGAAAGGAGCAGGTATCTGTTTCCACAGGGCAGGCTGTGCTGGACTGAGAACTGAGCTGGACTGAGCTGCATAGGCCCCTCTGAGCCATGCCATCACACTCAGCTGTGGCTTCAAGCTTGAGCTGGGGAAATAACGAGGAGGCAGCACATAGTGTTTGTTTGTGATGGGGGCAAGGCCCAGGTTCTTCCTCTACCTCCACGTACTTTCTCTGAAGTCAGGGGTCTTGGGCGAACACCTGTTTTCACAGATGAGTACTGCAAACACCCCCAGAGACACATAAAGCTCTCCTTGTTTCTTTCCAGATTTGATCTCCTTTTCTTTTTCTGCCCTGCTTGCCTCTCTTTACAATCTTGACTTGCTGCTTTCACTGTTCATCTGAAAAGCTGTAACCTTTTACTCAGTTGGCATCCCTTCCGTAGGTGCTAACGCTAGCTCATTGCTGCTTTGCTATTGCAAGGAAAATAAAATAAGTCAGATGTAGTGAACACGATCATGAACACCTCCAGCGCTGCTCACACCTTCAAATAAGGGGTTTAGGGCTTTATCACTAGAGTGCAGATTTTAAAACATCAGGACAAGGACAACACACGAATGGACATTATCATTCAGCCTCATATGTGTGCCCCCTGTGGTGGGTCCTGTCTGTTGTCCTGAGACCGTTCTTCATCACTGTCATCACTGTTTCACACTCACATGCTTTTCTTTCTTTATGCTTTTCAGCTGTTGGCTGTCTACTCTGGACCTGTCGTACAGCACAGGTAATGCATATTCATTATATAGACTTTTCCCATCACAAATTACAGCTAGCTGTATTTATCGCAATTTACTGAGAACGAAAGCCCGTTTCTGTAATAGCTTTGAAATGACAGTGATAGAATCTCACGATTCATTAATGAAAATGCTTTGCTATACATACAGTGCCAATAGAAAGTCTACATCACCCTTGGACTTTTTCACATTTTATTGTGTTACAGCATGGAACCATGATGTATTTAACAGAATGTTTGCCACTCATCAGCACAAAGTACTCTATAATGTCAAAGTAAAACAAAATCCAGACATTTTACTAAGTTAATTAAAAATAAAAAACAGAAAATAATTGAATGCATACTGTACGTATTCAGCCCCCCAGGTTAATACTTGGTAAGATCACCTTTGGCAGCAATTACAGCTGTAAGTGTCTTTGGGTAAGTCTTCCAAATGCCAGTGCTCTTACGGATTGCAATACATTTTTCTCCAGGATTTTTCTGTACTTAGCTCCATCCATTTTTCCTTCTATCTTTATGAGTTTTCTAGTCCATGCCACAGAGTAGCATCCCCAAAGCATGATGCTGCCACCACCATGCTTCACTGTAGGGATGGTGTTCTCAGTGTGATGTGCTGTGTTTGGTTTGCACCAAACATAAAGATCAATTTTGGTCTCATCAGACCATAGAATCTTCCTCCAAATTGTTGATACTCTCACATGCCTTTGGACAAACTCCAGCCGAGATGTGATATGAGTTTTTTTCAACAAATGATGGACTTCACTGTGCTTTGAGGTATATTCAATGCCTTGGAAATGTTCTTATATCCTTGCCCGGACTGGTATTTTTCAAGAACCAAGCATTCTGCTTGGATTGTTCCTTGGTCTTCATGGTGTAGTGTTTCCTTAGAAATTCATTAACTAAGTGGGGAAGGTCCCAGACATAGGTGTAGTTATTCTGAAAACA